AAGACAAGAGAAAACAGTCAGTTAAAAACAGAGTATCGTAATATCATGGATATGGTCGCTGCTAAAGAAGCAGCTTTGGTAAGGTTGCAAGAGGAGAATCAGAAGTTATGTAATCGATCTGAAAACAGCAGTCAAGACATGTCTAGAGAAACTATTCAGAATTTATCCCGTATCATTCGAGAGAAAGATATTGAAATAGATGCTCTAAGTCAAAAATGCCAAACCTTATTAACTGTCTTGCAGACATCCAGTACAGGTACTGATAATGGGTCAGGTGGTGTTAACAGTAACCAGTTTGAGAAACTTCTACAAGAGCGTGATAAACTAAAACAGCAAGTAAAGAAGATGGAAGAGTGGAAGCAACAGGTAATAACCACAGTTCAGAACATGCAGCATGAGTCAGCTCACCTCCAGGAAGAGTTACACAAGCTTCAGGCACAAATTTCGGTTGAAAGCGATAGTAATTTCAAGTTGCAGGTAGACTACAATGGCTTGATTCAGAGTTACGAACAGAATGAGAAAAAGCTGAAAAGTTTTAGTCAGGAATTAGCCCAAGTTCAACACAGCATAGGACAGCTTCATAACACCAAAGATCTTCTCCTCAGTAAACTTGATTTGGTAACACCATCTGTGGCAACATCTTCCACCGTTTCACAGCTTTCAGGTGTTCAATACAGTGCTCCTGAAGTACTCAGTGATGAGTTTAAACTCCTTCAAAAGGAGTTGGAACAACTGAAAAAAAAGTTGCAAGAAAAAGATTCAACTATTAGGACTCTTCAGGAAAACAATCAACGATTATCTGATTCTGTGGCTGCAGCATCAGAGATTGAAAGAAAGAGTCAAGAAGGGACTGAGTCAGAGATGAGGCAGATCAAAGAAAAACATGATGTCTTACAGAAATCACTTAGGGAAAAAGACATATTAATTAAATCTAAAAGTGATCAGTTACTTTCTGTGAGTGAAAATCTTAGTAACAAAGAAAATGAAAATGAACTTTTGAAGCAAGCTGTGACTAATCTTAAAGAAAGAAATTTAATTTTAGAAATGGATATTCGAAAACTGAAAGAAGAAAATGAAAAAATAGTTGCAAGGAGTAGGGAAAAAGAAACAGAATTCCGGGCACTTCAGGAGACTAATATGCAATTTTCAATGATGCTGAAAGAAAAAGAGTTTGAGTCTCACTCAATGAAGGAGAAAGCTCTTGCTTTTGAGAAGCTGTTGAAAGAAAAAGAACAGGTATGTGCATTCATATTTATGAATATCTTTTAAAATTAGTCACATGGTAATGCATTTTTGTGTGTATGTAGCCATCAAGTGTTTGCCTGAAATCCATTTGTGACTCCTTTCTGCATTACACTACAACAAAACCCCTCTCCCTGCAAAGTTAAGAAACTGAAAGTCAGCAGGCAAGTGGTTTACAGTGTTATCTGTTAATTGTGCAGCCATAAGCTAGATTTTTTCATTTATTTGGAAATTGCTCGTTTACTGATCCGGCTGCTTAATATTTTGCTTTGACCTTGTTGTTCATTAAGTGCACTATGTTATTTTTGGTTTCTGCAGAGTTGGCCAGCAGGACTGATTTTCCAATATGATTTCCTCTAGTGTTTGTCATTACAATGTTGATGCTTCACAACATCCCTGTGAGATGAATGGCTTTATGTATCTTTCTTTTATGGCTGGAGAAACTCCACTGGGGGAGGGGAAAAAAAAAGGATTAGACAAGCTAAATTAATGATTTCTTCTCTACAATTTGACATATGGGAAAATTGATACTTTTTTCAAAGCACATGTTCAGAGAAAAGTTGCAGTGGATTTTTAGTTATTGCATAATGTAATTTCAGGAATAATCTTTTTAAGAGCAAAGAATTCTGTGACATTGTTGATACACAGGTCAACAGCTTGTTGTATGAACTGCTGCTGCTGGGTTAGCAAGGTAATGTGTGAATTGCCATTTCTCTTTGAGAAATAGGTGTTAAGTACAGTGCAAAAGTCTTCCTGTAGTTTTGACAAACACTTGACAACAGAACTCCAGGATGTAGATATTTTTGTTTTACTTTGTAGGCTCTGAAAGTGAATATGTCCTAGTGGGCAGTCTTTTCTGGTAATTAATTCCAAACAGATAATTTTATTTCTTTCCACTGTACTGTCCAGGTCCCCGTTCTCTTCATCTTGGTGGTTCTGATCACCATTCTCCAATCTTCTCTTACGTTTGTCCCCCTCCATGCATGCTATTCTTATTCTCCCCGTTGCCTTTAGCATCTTTTTTCATTTTCAAAAGTTAAGAGCATTGCCCACTATCACAGAATGGTATTTATGCAAACCTTTCTTAAGTAACTCGGCATTATTTTTTTTTCCCTGCTATAATCATAATAAAAAACTTCATAGAAAGGGTTGGGTTGGAATGGACCTCAAAGATCATCTTAATTCCAACCTCCCTGCCATGGGCAGGGACACCTTTCACTACATCAGATTGCTCAAAGCCTCATCCAACCTTTCCTTGAACAGTTCCAGGAACAGGACATCCACAACTTCTCTGGGCAACCTGTTTCAGTGTCTCACCACCCTCACATTTCTTTGAAGCATTTTCAAACTAGCAACTAAATCTGCAATGTAATGTGATTGGAAAAGCAAAATACAAATTACATATAACATCTATGTCTTTTATCATTTGGAAATCTCAACTTTGACATAATGTATGTGAAAAACTAGGATTTTTTTTTTTTTTGAGAAGTTTGATTTAGGACAGATGTTTAGCTCTGCTCATAGAACAGGATAGGGAAACCTCTACTAAAGAAATACTATAGAATTACAGTGAGAAGTTTTATTGTCTTCAAGTACAATTACATTGTGAAAAAATAGCTTTGAATTGCCATTGGGGCTTATGTCCATCAGTCTTGCCTGTATAAAATACCCTAATACTTTATGAATTCATGCTGTCACAGTTTTTTGTTTTTTGGTTTTTTTTTTGTTCTAACTCCTGGAAATCTGCATTGTCTGGCTAGGTTCTCTGTGTTGTGTGTCCTTGGCCTACGTACTTCCACTCACTGATATCTTAGGCTTTCAGTTTAACGGGCATGGAACATTTGTCTGGGCATTTTTCTTGCACAAATCTGAGAAGTTCCTGTTACATGCTTTGTGTTTGCCATGGAGAATTAGAGAAAAGAGTATTCAAACAGTTTGTATTTTGCGTGCATGTCAGAAGATAACACGACATAAAAAGAGAAGGTTTGCCTGCAAGTTTATGATTCTGCTACAGAACAAATTTTACTATATTTAGTTTGATTAATGAAAACAAATAATTGAAGCTTATAAGTGATGAAAACAAAGGTTGGGTTACTTTTACCCAACATATTGAATAAAAGTAACTGCTTTCAAAACAACGTATGAGACAAAAGGTAAAGAGCATGGCGAAAAGGTTCAAATAGCTGAAAATGCATTCATGTATACATGTGAGTTCTGTGTAACGGACATACTGTGTCACTCCTTTATATGCTGATGTAAAGTTGTAGTAAATTGCATGTAAGTAGGAACATTATTCATTGCAATTTGACATCTGAAAACGGGATGGACGTTGCTGTGGTTCATTGAAGGCTAATCTTTGGGAGTGAGGTCACCTTATGATTTCTTTTTAAAGATTTCTTCATGTGTTTAGTCTTCTGAAGTTCAGACAAGTTGACCTCCTTAGGCTGATGGTTTACATGTACATGGCCTAATAAATAGGTATCAGAGAAAATAGATTCCAAACACTGCGGGAAAAGTGACATTTTCAAGTATGCAAATGTCTGAGACAGTATGTACATAATACATGTCTTTCCTCAGAAGGTAGGTAGGTAGGTACCTGTTTGCTCACGGCATTTGAAACAATGCATCTGTGTAGTGTCTTTTAGCTGTAACTTCTACGTTGTCTTGCAACATGTGAGTGAAATCACTTCAAAATAATATTTTCCCTGAATGTTTTTCTATGCTGCAGGGCCATGGGTGTCCTGCCCTTTTTCTTGTTATGTCAGTATTGTCTTTACGCTCTTCTGGGCAAATACTGTGTCTCCTTTGGTAAAACTATTTGCCGCGTTTGAAATGCTTGTTTGTGTCTTCAACAGGGCAAGACAGGAGAATTGAATCAACTGTTAAATGAAGTTAAATCAATGCAGGAAAAGGCTGTTACTTTTCAGCAAGAGAGAGACCAAGTCATGGTAGCACTGAAACAGAAGCAAATGGAGAGCAGTGCCCTGCAGAGTGAGGTACACTACCAAATAGTTTACAGTTGCAAGAAATAAAAGAATAAGTAATTGCATCTGTAATATTTTCTGGATTATTTTTGTTAGGAGTCACTTGTTAAAAGGATTTAAAATAGATACAAGTGCAGTGTGCTTCAATGGACGTGTTTTGTGTTTGCTTAAATTATTTTTGTGAAAGGTGATAGTATGAGCAACTTAAGATATGTTCTACACAGATACAGCATTTGCGTGACAAAGAGCAGCGCCTGAATCAGGAACTGGAGAGATTACGTAATCACCTTTTAGAAATGGAAGACTCCTACACACGAGAAGCTTTAGCTGCAGAAGACAGAGAGGTCAAGCTAAGAAAGAAAGTTCTGGGTTTGGAAGAAAAGCTTGTGTCCTCATCTACAGCAGTGGAGAATGCCAGGTAATCTTTTAATTTATACAGCAGTGGCATTGGCTATAGATGTCACAGGTAGCTAGACTGGTACTGATGGCTTTATTTTACTGAATTACCGTTCTATGACATGCTAAACACTTGAGAAAACAAAAAGATATGAACTTTTGTTACTCTAAATCACGAAGGTGATTTGAAATCTACTTGGCTACTGTTGAGAACTTAAGAAGGTATTTGTCGTTTTAGTAGCAACTATTGAAATCTCACATCTTTGACAGTGCTTAGAACTAGAAGCAACAAAAAATCCTTCAACTCATCAACATAGTTGTCTGTCAAGTCAAAAAAGATGGACTTAACTTACTTTTAAGTCAAGGCTTCATTCAGTTTGAAAGAATCTTGTTTTATACACTGTATATATATGTGAAGAGAGATGCATTGAAGTCCTCATGGGTAGCAGAATCTGGGAGGCTAGAGCCTATTTGGGTTTTTTTATTTATTTGCTGTAATCACATTTTTCATCCAGAACAAGGAAAACTCAAGTATTAAAATTACTCGGTGCCTATCTTGACTGCTTTAATACTGTTTTATTTAAAGGAATGTCGATTACTTTGGGCAAAAGAATTCTTTTCGTCTTTTACAGTTGTCTAAATGAACAAGTATTTTAATAAAATGTATATAGCTGCAGTCTTTCTTTTTTTCTTTAAGTGCCAAAGATGGATTCTGCTCTTAATGTTCTCAGGAAAGAGCTTTCTGAATTGAGAGGAATTTGTTATGAAAAGCTGTGGAGAAAGTGGAAGAGTTAGGAGAAGGTTTTGTAAAAACCGTTCATCAGAATGTTTCTTAGTTCTTCATCAAACTTGTCAAATACCTTTCAAGAAATACTGCCTGTTTCCCCCCTGATATGCCCTCTTTAAAAAGACCGGCATAGGAGTAAATCAGGTTCATAATATTTTTGCATAATGGGAAGCTAAATGGGGCGTTCAGTGGTCAGTATGGGGCAAGATATACCAAGTTCTTGGAGACTGACTTTAAAAGTAAAAATTGGTAGAAAGACCTATTGACTCATGCAGTAATTTGAAGTAGACAATTAGCAAGATATGGATTCTTTCTTTGGTAAAGATAACTGTTACAATAATGAACAACAAAGGTGACTTTTTTTCTTTTGCTTGCTAATACGCCTCAAACAAAAGTAGTTTTTTGGGTTCTTGTGACTGCCAAAATTTTATTACTAAACTTATTTAAAATCTGTTGTTAGGTTGTTTTTTTGTTGGCTCTTTTTTTTTTTAAGAGGAAGCAGAAAAAAAAAATTACCTTCATTTTTATAAATTGAGCTGAAAAATTAAAGGTAGGCTGGTTTTGCTGGGATTTTATTTTCTCTGTGATGACTTCTGTTATTGTCTTCATAAATAATGTATTTTATTTTCATCAAGTCATCAAGCTAGTCTGCAAGTTGAATCTTTGCAAGAGCAATTAAACTTGGTTTCCAAGCAGAGAGATGAAACTGTGCTACAGCTCACCATCTCACAGGACCAAGTGAAGCAGTATGCGTTGTCACTGGCCAACCTGCAGATGGTACTAGAGCAATTCCAACAGGGTAAGTTCTGTCAAGAAATAGCAAAGATTGCAACGAGTGTCTTTCAGCTGGGATAGTTACCATATTTTGATGCTTTCTAAATACTAGTTACCTGGTTTCCTTTTTGATAGCTTGAATTTCAGAATCTGTTATCTTTTAAAAAAACTTATAAATACAATTCTGGCCCTGTGAAAACTGATGGTCAGTATTGCATTTATGAAATTTGAATTTCACCTCTACCTCATGAAGACCAGATGTGATAATGCTGAGGCTTTGCAATTGCGTATCCCAAAAAGAGTTACATGTTGTGAATTGAGTTTTTGTTTTGTTTTGTATTTTTAACCCTTTAGAAGAAAAAGCGATGTATTCAGCAGAGCTGGAGAAACACCAAAACCAGACTGCAGAATGGAGGAAAAAAGCGGAAAACTTAGAAGAAAAAGTTATATCACTGCAGGTGGGCTGAATAATGAAGTTGAACCCTGTGAAACTAAACGCCAATTCTTGCCTGAATGTTTTGCATTTGAGTGCTGTGTTAAGTGTTTCTGCCTAAGAATACATCAAGTTAAGTAACTTTGCTCTCTTCATTGGAAGAGAAGGGGACAGTAAACGAAGATTGGCAAAGTAGCATTCCTCTGCTAACTGTCCATTTTCTGAGGATGTTTACAATCCGGTTATTCCAAAGAACAAATGATTGAAGTCTCTGCATTGGGTTCAATCTGTGTTAAATTAGCCTAATTGTGACAGTGAACTCCCTTGCTTCTCTTTTTGTCCCTTTCCTGCCCTCTATTCAGGAAAGTTTAGGAGAGGCAAATGCTGCACTGGATGCAGCATCAAGGCTTACTGAGCAGCTTGACCTCAAAGAGGAGCAGATTGAAGAGCTTAAGAAAGAAGGTAACTATGTTTTTTATCTCTACTTAAAACATGCCAAGCAGCTGAGAAGACAATGTAGTATTCCTAAAAACTTACCAAAATTGATCTCCTATGAGGAAAAGAGTAATTCTGTTGCCACCTTTTGAGGATTTCCTTGTTTATAAAGCAAATTTGCAAAAAATATGTTTACCTTCTATTAGAGATTTTTCTCAAAAAGATTTCTCAAAAGAAAGCCCTGTAGTAGTTAGGTTGGGTTTTTTTCCCCCGTAAATACCAAATCCCTTGATTTAGCTCTGTAAGCGTCTTTTTGTAAAGTTTCTGAAATACCAAATGTTGTCTGATTTTTCCAAAGTAAGTAAATATCATATTTGACATAAGACACAGGAATACAATGAGATAGAGAGAAAGGATGTGCTGTTGGTAAGAGAGGTTGAGGGAGCAGCTCTTGCACAGATGTGGATTATGTGGAAGGTCTTAGACGCATCTTTAGATTGTGTTTGTAGATCTCATTTCAAATAAGCTTCCTGGTTGCTCATATTTGGAAAGACGCCTTACGTATTGTTGTCAGGTTAAGTACTCTAATATTTGATGAATGTCACCTACTTTGGATTTGAAGACAAAACTTTGCCAGATGGTAGAGGAATTTGCTAGAAGAAACAGTTTTGAAACGGAACAATGTTTATGATGAGGGTGGTCAAACATTGGAATAGGTTGTCCAGAAACGTGGAGTGTCCATCCATGGTGATACTCAAAACTGTAGATGACCCTGCTTGATCAGAGGGATTGGCTAGATGATCTAGAGGTCCCTTCCAACATAAATGTTTCTTTGATTTTTGTGTTTCTGTGACTGTTCGGGTTTTTTTTTTACTCTTTGACATCACTGAAACAGGAATTCTGTAAGAGATGCATAGCCTTCTCTTTTGTAAACACATTTAGCATTGAAACTGTAGGAAAGCCTAAAAAGGCATGATAACCTTTTACTAAAAACTGATATAATTTCAGTGTATTTCTGTTTTATGACCTTAGGCTATTTAATCAAATGAAAAAAAACGAAGGGTAACTTCAATGCAATGTATTTGAATATCAAACATCAGTGAGATTTATAAGCTCAGAGACTCACTCGGAGGTGACAAAATAGCTATATGAGTAACGTAAGGTCACTTTTTTTTTTCACTACTATGTTAATTTTGGTTTTCATGAGAAAGGAGTCATAGAATTAGCTAAAGGACTTAGGACTAATAATAATGTTGCTAAATTTCTGTACTTACATCTCAGCCCTGAGTTTTAATTTTGTCTGCAATGTTTCATTGAACAGAGAGAGAAAGTTACTTCTTCGCATCTATTTGAATGGCAGTTCTGATATGAGTGAACTTATTAACAGTACCGACTGATGAGGGAGTATTAGGCTTTTTTCTTTTTTTTTATTGTCTTCATCTGTCTTTTCCTCCTCCATTTTTCCCAACTGAGTCGTACTTTCTCTTTCCCTCTTTATTTCTGTGGGTCACCATATTTTGCTATTACTGCAGCATCCTCTGTTATGGTCAGGCTTTCACTGAGCAAATGGGATAAATCTAAAATCAGAGGAAAACTTGTGACTGGTCCCTGAAGCAGCTTTAAAAAGGGAACTTGAAGAGCAGAGGTTTGCTCACTCTCTGTGATTACTTAACTGCTCTTATTTTTGTTTTTTCCCCCTCATACCTGTGGGGAATTTTTGAGTGAATACCTTTAAGGCTTGCTGGGGGAAGACCTGGAATATCATCTCTGCTGGATGCAGTGGTAGCTCTTGCTCTGAATATATACAACTGGTTATTGCTATTCCTTTTTAAATTGTAGTTTGTCTTACTTTTGAAATAAAAGTATTCCTGTGTGACCAGCAGGAACAGGGAAGTGATCCTGCCCCTGTACTCGGCTCTGGTGAGGCTGCACCTGGAATATTGTGTCCAGTTTTGGGCCCCTCGCTTTAAGAGAGATATTGAGCTCCTGGAGCGAGTCCAAAGAAGGGCGACTAAACTGGTGAAGGGGCTGGAAAATAAAACTTATGAGGAGCGGCTGAGGGAGTTGGGGCTGTTTAGCCTGGAGAAGAGGAGGCTGAGGGGAGACCTGATTACGGCCTACAAATACTTGAGAAGGGATGGTGGGGAGGTAGGGGAAGGGCTCTTTACATTAGTGATCGGTGATAGAACAAGAGGAAATGGGTATAAGCTTAGTCAGGGGAGGTTCAGGTTGGATGTTAGAAAGAATTTCTTCTCTGAAAGGGTTGTCAGCCACTGGAATAGGCTGCCCAGGGAGGTGGTTGAGTCCACATCCCTGGATGTGTTTAAGATAAGGGTGGATGAACTACTTAAGGATATGGTTTAATGGGAGATTAGGGATGGTTGGACTGGATGATCTCTAAGGTCTTTTCCAACCTAGAAATCTATGAAATCTATGAAATAATATTTTCTTAAAGCGTACTTGCTTATGATCAGATAGTTGGTGTGAAAAGGCACTTGAAAGTCTTCACGATTTCACCAAGAACTCTACAAAAAAGTTACAACTTTTCTACTACATAATTGAATGTGTACTTAGTCGAATTTAGTTGTGTCTAAGTGCAATTTGGCATCCAAGTGGGTGTCATAGGAGTGCTACCTGAGTTCACTTAAGAATTTTACAAGCTAAATTATATTTTAAGCTGCTACAACTAAATACTGATTTGTTTTTGAATTGACTGATCTGTATGTCTCTGTCTCACTACAGACATTCACAGCAAAAGTTTTCAAATGCCCTGACTTGAAATTAACTTTGGCCATATGCAAATATGGCACTCTCGGATGGGGAGCTCTTCATTACTAGTTAATTTTGTTTGCAGACCTTTGTATATGAGAGCAGGAGGGGTATGAACTTTGAGAGAAAACTGAATCTCGGCATTTTATCAAGCTATGTTGTATTGGCAAGCAATTTACTTCTCAAAAAAAAATGGAAAGGAACTGTTGCATAAAGGAAACAGCACTTTAATGTTGTTGTAGAATAAATCATGATTTTTATTGGAAAAAAAAAGACCACTCTGTTTTCTCTATTTACACAAGAAAACATATAATGTCTCATTGAAAATTGGCCAAATACATTCCCAGACACAGTTTCATTAGCCAAAACTTTTGAAGGATTTCTTTATGGATTTTTTTGGCAGGAGAAGTGATTTTAATGGAAAAGTATAAGATGTACCAGATGCAGTTTTCTGGATTGCCATAAATGGTTAACAAATTATTGGAGACTGTTGTAAATGTCTGGTTTACAGCAGTCCATGCTGAATTTTGGCTCAGGTCTTTTCTGTTTTTCAGTCCTTTCATACACACGAAGTATGTGTTTAAGTCCTTTTCAACTGTAAGATTCTATTTTAGAAGGAAATATTCCATTTAAAAAATATGTTTAATGATAGAGTTGCGTAGTCACTTTGGATGAAACATAGCTGTGTAGCTGTCCTTAAAAGTTGTTCCTCTTTATATCCTGAAAAAGATACAAAATCTTTTTGCCAGGAAAAAATAGAAAACAACAGTAACATTTCATATAAATTCTTAATACATTTGTTTTAAAATTCATCATGTGAATAAAAATTGAAAAGGAAACTCGTGATTGTCTTGCTTTGTAGAGCAATAGCAACAGTGTGAGATTTACTTAACTTGTTTTCAGATGCTGTTTGTTTATCTTTGTGGCATTAGTAGTTTTACTTTCTTAATTCCCTTTTACTCTGTGCAGATTGAAATAACTCAACTTCCACGTATGCTCCTATAACTGTTATCATTCCATAATTATATTGCAAACATTTTCCTTCAAGTATTGGGGTCCTATTTAATCACAAAGTCGCATAATTTCAAGTAAGTTTAAACCTTGAAACTGGATTAGTTCTTCTGTGCCTGGTGTTTGAGAGAGGGGAGCGCTGAAGAGCAGTCACATTATTGGAATGGATTTCAGTGCACATGGGTGTAGTTGTTATAAAATATATTGTTGTATAATATATATAATTTTGTTTGGTTTTTAATTTGTTTCGAATAAGGAACTTAATCCTTATGTTCCTTGAATAAGAACTTTCCCAGCATGACACTAGTTAGTTTGTTCTACTCTGTACTCTCTAAAATTCATATTTGTGAAGTAAAATGTAGAGTATTTGAACAGGACATATTAGGTTGTATCCATTTCACAGCCTAGCTCCTTAGTGCATTATATATATGAAAACTTTGTGTGGATTCTCATGGAGTTATTTGTGTTAATTGAGAACGATGTTGTGGCATGCATTTGTTAAAGATTCAAAGTCCTGTGGAAACTAGACTGGAATGTTTTTCATGCATCTCAGATGACTTGAAGGATATAAAAATTTATAAAAGTCACTTTTCTTGCAAAGATGTTGAGGCTTTTTAGAAATTAACTACAAGATAGATACAAGAAAAGTGTATCTTTTATGGGTTTTGTTTTGTTTTTTAAATGACACACTTTTAATTAGCATGAGCCCGAGAAGTGTTAAAATGGTAGGGAAATTAAGCTGATCAGCAGATCTTCCGTAGGGTTTGAAAATAAGCATACAACCTTATAGAGGGAGCAGAGAAAAAGCTCATCATTTCTGCTCATGTAACTGTAGGGTGGATTTGGTCTTCACATGAATAGTCCATGTTATAATATATTGGTTAAGCTTTTATGTGTGATTAAGACTTACTTGTACTTTTATTAGGAAAAAAGTAACTTCAAAGGTAGTATAGTGCAGAACCCCAGTTTGGTGAAAAATTATATTTTTACTGTCTTGAGGTGAAGCCATTTGTAGTTTATCTTCTAAGAATTCTTTGTACCTTGTAATTATTTCTTTTCTTGTCTGAGAACATTTTATTGCCAATGTTCTTAAATCCTGTGTTTGGAAATTTAAGTGAGATAAGTTTTTCTAGCACTTCTTACTCTCTGGGGGTTTTTTGTACAAACTTGTGTAGACCTGAACATCAGATACTCTTACCCAGTTTTTGGTATACCTGAATTTTTATAAAGAGAAAACTTTATGCCTTGTTTCCTTATAATCAGAATGTTGTGAAATATTTATGGCAAGTAAAACTTGTAGGGGAATATTTTTGTTTATTATGAGCTTTATATGGGAGGACAGAAGAAGCCTGAGTTACTGACACAGAATGATTGGGGTAATTGAGTATATTCTGTATTTGAGCTAGAAAGTAATTTATGTTAGTGGAATTTTAGAATTGTAGAGAAGCTGGTGCTGTGAAATTATTGGGCAAGAGTGAATGGAACAATATCATACTATGACTCTTTTTAATGAAATGGGCTTCTACATTTATATCTTCCTCTTTAAACACTCTGATGTCATGAGGCTCAAGTGTGTAGTTAGTAGACAAATCATTGATTAAAGTCAAGAATTTCAGAAAGGCGGAAAGTTACAACACTAATGAATGCAGAATCTAAACTCTTCTTTTACTCTTCTAATGTTTCCTGTTTTAGGTTTGTGGAGAGTAAAAATAGGATCCCTTGTGTAGGCCAAGAATGTCATTAGCAGTGTTGTGATATCCTAGATGAACCAATTTCATTGCAGCCACTACAGAACAGTATCAGAACTCGGAGTCAGCTGCAAAAAAGGCGGACACTGTGTAGTGACTCCCTGCACACTCCTAGACAACCTCATATTAATTAACTTACTATACTGACCTATTCACTTAATTTGCAGGCTGTGGTGTTTGCCATTTTCCTCTCAGTTTTGTCTTTGGTTCATGGTAGCTGTGACATTTCATCTGTGCCGTTTTTAACTGAATGCTTGTATTCCCAAAAGTATAGGGAATCTTGAAATCTCTGCAGAGCCTTTCTTGCCAGTGTACAGAGTCATGAAGCACACACTGGTTCTAGGATGCATTAGTGTGTCCCAGCGTGCTGCTTCAAGAGCTGAAATCAGTTAACAGGAGTGGGAAAGGTCCTCACAGAAGTGACCTACAACAGGTTAGTGATGTTGCTCTGCCAGTCAGTAATCCTCCTTGAAGACTGGAGAACTCCTTAGTACTGCAGAGCTTTAGCAACCTGGTAGAGTATGCAGAATAGCTGGATTTAGGAAATATTTGAGATTGAGTGCTGAGATCAGAATTACCTCATGCCGACATGCAGTTTGATCAGATTATGAAAAAGATTGCCACCACAGGACTATAGACCTTGATCAAGAGGTTCTTTCCAGTTCTGTATTATCTGGGTGGAATAGAGCAGTTCATCAGACTTTCTGCAATTGGTTTATTTTCTCTGTGTTCCTGTACTTCAGCACTGAGTATTGTTCTGGAAATTTTAGCTTTTAATGTCAAATAATAATCACTTAAGATGGCACTTTTTAACAAAATCAGCTAGGTTTGTTTTTTTTTTTTTTTTAAAAACACCATAACAATATTAACATATTTTTTTTTTAAAATGTGTGTCTTAGTAATGTAACAACGTTTCAATTTTTGTTTATTTGCTGTGACATAACATTTTATAGGTGATCTCAGAAGAGAAATGTTAGAAGATGTACAAAATAAACTAATGAATCTTATGAACAGCACAGAAGGAAAAGTGGACAAGTAAGTCTTTAATGTAAAGACTTGATACACATTTTTTTGTTTTATTCCTCACTATGTCCAGATATATTACTACCACAGTTGCAAGAGCAGTGCAGAACTGGGCTCCTGCATGTGGTGTTGTAATTATACTTTGATTATTTTGACGTTTTTCGATTGCTTGGTGGTTGTAAATAGTAATTTTGATGAGTAAACCAATGTGTATATAAATTTGGATTAATGGTGTGTTTCTGAAGTAGAATTACACTTCAATAACATGAGCTCTGCAAATGGAGATAAAAATTCTTAATGAACATCTCTTATTAATGTCTACGGTGTGAACAGCAAGCCTTTTCATGTAGCTAGCCTCACCTGGATGTTGTGTAGATCTCTCTTCCTTGGTATTTTCTTTTCTTCTCTTTACCTTGTAGAACTGAAACAGAGATAGGCAAACGGGTTCCTCTGTCCCTTTCCTTACATCTTGATTTGGGACTGTGCATAAGTCTCTGTTTAAACACTTCCTGAGTCCAGATCTTAGAATAAACATTTTCCCTGCTTGTAGTACTTTCATCAAAACTTGCTCATGTACAACTCAGTTTCACCTTTCTGTATACAATATTTCCAATACTGTCCAAAGTGACCCTTACTGTATAAGAAACATTGTAACTTGTAGGGGAAGGAAATTGATGAGGTACCCGTTTAGTTCCTTGTATTAGGTTTGTTTATTCAGATTATTGTAAATTAGGCAAGAGTATGAGGAATAAGTGGGTCAATATTACAGTATCAACTGTTAGCAAGAGCAGATTTGTTTAACAAGCTTCCTTTGCTCTGCAGGCTCCTAATGAGAAATCTCTTTGTTGGACATTTTCATACTCCAAAAAATAAACGTCCTGAAGTGTTAAGATTAATGGGAAGTATCTTGGGAATAAAAAAGGAAGAACTTGATCAGGTAATACTTTGCAGAAAACTAGACTTGCTTTTTTATTTACGATATCCTTACCTGAAAATAGAATGACTTGCTCCTAAACTAAATGAGACTGTCCCTGCACTTCTTGAGAGAACAAAAAATGTGTATTCCCCACATCTGAATTTGGTTTTTTATGTTAGACATACTGATCTTAATGGAATCTGTTGATAACGTTATTTTAAAAGAATGGATCTCATTTTGCTGAAGAATGCTAATGCAGAAAGGAAGGGATTTAATTTTGTGCTCTTGCATACAATGGATGTAATATGTCAGCTACAGAAAAGTAAGCCAGTTCTATATGTACCACTAAGTAGTGTGAAGAATGTGGGATGTACATTTTTAAAGAGCCAGGTTTTCAGACTGCCAGTCTTTGGAAGGCAGAGAATAAGATTTTGACAGTAATTAAAGTTTTTATTTATCTGTAGGATTCCCATGTAGTTATGTTGAATAAATATAATGAGCACAATGTTGCAGTTTCATTTATCTGCTGCTTTATTTTTGGTTTCCTAACTTTTTAAAAATACTTTCTAGTTACTATCTGAAGACCAAAGAGGAGTTACGAGATGGGTGACTGGCTGGCTTGGTGGAGGAGCTGGGTCAAAGAGTGTCCCTAGTACACCCCTGAGGCCAACTCATCAGAACATTTTTAATAGTGTAAGAATTAATCGTGCGTTCTCCATGTTTGAGTGGGAAAAGCGAGGCACTTGCATGTCAGTGCTCATGTTTTGTTCATCAGTATATTGAGCTTCGTTTGCCAGTGCTACTGTCTTGCATTATTTGTTTTGTGCAACTGCTTTGGCATAATGTTTTTTTCTGCACTAAATAAATGTAGCCATTGATGAAAATGGTACAATACTAAGTGTTGGGCTAATGCAGAAATCCAATTACTGTTCCACTTTTTTGGGGGATCACTAACTACTTACACAGTATGGACTTTGTCTTGCAAACTAACAGTGCTGGAGTTTACATAAATGTGGGAGTCTGGAATTCTGCAATACTCAACAGTATAGAAAACCATGACATGGTATTTTGATGACTGTATTCCCATGAATACTTTAAATTTAATTGAAAAAGATTTCTCAGATGCTGCAGCTAGTGCTTCTTATGTACAGCATATAAAGTTGATATTTTAAGCTTTCAAGTACTGTATAGCAACAGTTCTCATAGCATGGTCCATGGGAGCAGTTAAACTATGGAACTTTCCTTAGAAGAGCATGTTGAGAATTGATTCCTGTAAGTGATCTTGAAGTGTAGGGATTGGTTTTTGTCCACTAAAATAGTGCAGGCACTTAGACCACCAGAGGGTTGTGGTCTGATTAACTATGGATGTAAAAAAGGAAAATTAATGCTTTTGTATGTACAGTACAGGCTTTACTAAGCAAAATTTTGTCTTGTGGTGCTACTGACACATTAATCATTCCGTGCTTCCTTTATTCAAGACGTTTTGTCAAATAAGGAAAGCAATGGGGTTTAAGATAAATATTTAACGTTTTTTATGTATTTTTGGAGGAGTGATTTGCATGAGCATGGAGACAGGAAATACTGTCATGTCAGTAGCAGCATGGGATTCTTAAAACAATTGGCTTAAATCAAAAATGGAACCACGGTGCAAGTATGTGTGTTATCTTTAGAGTATCAAATTCACATAAATACCACTTATTGATACAACAAAAAACTGTGTATTTTGAAAATAAATTTCATTGTCACTCACTAAGGACTACTTAGTACCAGTACAAAATTCTTTGGAAGCTGTTGACAGCTTTTTGGTTTATATATGTATATATTTTTAACTTATGTACTTTTCAACAGACCATCAGTAAAATATAATAACTAGTAGCTTCTTGTAGTCTTTTTCAGAATTATTTGTGAAATTCCTTGAAACAGAATCTTGCCCAAGCCTTCCTCCACCCAAGCTCTCTGTTCATGATATGAAACCTTTAGGAGCAGCAGGAACTGGTAAAACTAGCAGTACTCCATCCAACAGCCAAATGCAAGGTAACATTTGAAGGCGAGTTTGAATCTTTGTACAGAACATAAATAACTAAAGGTAGAATTTTCAAGGGGATTTCAATGATTCTGTGCTTCCTCACTTGTGAACTATGAATTTGATTTCTCCCCTTCCCCCTGCAATTTCCTATTTTCTCTTTTTTTTTTTTTCTTTTTCCCCCACCCTGCTTTCCCACTGCTTCTATACCCCGCTTCCTAAAATCTCAATACCAGTTCCCTTCAATATGGAAAGGCTTTAACAGCACCTGTTAGAGCCAAACAGATGCTGTGCAGACAATTTCATATGGTATATCAGTGAACCCAGTCCTGATCAGCATCCCTGTTGATCACCTTGGGTCTCACTGAGTGAAGAATGCAAGTAATACCAACCTTGTAGTGCTTCTCTTGTATGTAGAACCTGTCTCTCAGAAACGACTGAAATAAAATCAGTTAAGTGTATGGCCTGATTTGAATTAATTTTTGAATGCTTTCTAGCAAAGTGTTTTTGTTGTCGCATTTTGGTTTCTTTTGTTTTTTACGTTTCAGATTCTGCAGTCTCGGGAATGAGCAGAAGACCAGATGCAACTCCATTTTTAGCACCTCGATCTGCAGCAGTGCCTCTCATAACACCTGCTAGTAGTTCTGGACATCTGCTTATGAAACCTATTTCTGATGCATTGCCTGCTTTTACACCACTGCCAGTGTCTCCTGATGCCAGTGCTGGTGCTGTTCTAAAAGATCTCCTAAAACAATAGTTAATCTTGTATTAATATGATGAGAGTAGCACTTTAAGGAAAATTAGAACACTATGCTGTATATAATTTACCACAATGAGGCCTTCTGTAAAAAAATCTTGTACTTGTTTGCAGTTGTACCTTGCTTTTCTTTTAATAACAAACTAACCAGTCCTTGGAAGTTCTAATGATGGTATGGATAACTGCCTTCTTTATAGTAGGCATTCATTTTGGGTATAGGTTAAATCTTAAACTGAGGGGAAAGAAAGATAATCTATCTTGTTGCTAGATTACCACCAGACAAATAGAAGGATTTTTAAACCTTAGTTATACTCTTGAGTTGTTTCAGTGATGCATGGATAGCATTAACTCTTTGGTGTTGAGATCTGTTTTTCTATTAAAACAATCGGCCATTGGCAGTGGGCCTTCAAGAACCAGAATTAAAAAAAAAAAAAAATCCAACCAAAATTGATCTGATTTGAGTTGTTCAATTAATGACACAAACTCTGAAGAATAAGTCGGTGAGCACATGGGAGTGTGATTGTTGAGCAGCTGCAGTCTTCCCACACGTGATTTATGACATTACTGTGGACTAGGACATGTATCTCCTGTTTACAGGATTGGTCACATCTGGGGGCAATTTGAGGCATGTTAATTTCTTTGTGCACAATGATTTTTTATTTTTCTCCCCCCTCCAAACTAATAGCTGCTTTCACTGTCAAACCCATCAGCACCATGGAGTTAACTGTGGCAGAGAGCGCTTCATTTTCTAGAGGTGTCCATGGGATGAAGAGTAGCTAATTTAGCAAAAGATAGATTCACATATATAAACACACTGTACTCTAATGATCTAAGATGTATATTCGAGAGACTTTTTATCTTGCCAGAGTTTATAGATCCAAATACAGGCTTAAAGCTCAAACGCATGTATAGAATTTAAAGGGAAGAAGATTACTTATCTCAAACGTGTAAATAGGTCTTTATGAGACCACGTCCCAAGTCAATTATTCTGTAAATTTTGCTGTGATAACTTGTCTGCTTTGTTTGGCAGGTAAAGAATGAAGTTGCATACTAAAGGATAAAAATGATCTTGCAAAAGTCATCTTTAGAATGAATCTGAGATAAAACATCTTCATTTTAAAATGTGTAATTTCTAAATCTTTTTATATGCCATTCCTTGTTTAGTCAGTGTTAAGATAACTGTTGTGCAAGTTCTATATTAGAACTGTCAGCCTTTCTTCTCGTTTTCGTTACGATCCTGGATTAAATTGTTGCAAGAGTTATATTTTGAATAAAATTAATTACTGAGACTTGTACAGAATCAAACAAAATAATGCAAGAAATCTTTGCATTTATTTGTGGAGAGGTCAAATAGTGAATTTCTTTTGTTGCCTTGAAATCTAGCAGGTTTTTTTCATTACTGGTATTTACCTTAAGAACTGCCTGAGTCTGTTTTCCCCAGTGTGTTAATGCTTCATGGAAGACTTACGCAAATTTGGAAGTGGATTGACCGTACTGGATTTTTATGTTAAATTTTTTTACTTCATTATAGACAAAATAATTAATTTGGCAGTTTGATTTCTGAAAGGATAGCAGCTGCATATAATATACCAAAGTAAATTCTGCATTACACAATAAATGTGATGAGAATTTGAAAGTACTTCTGCTGAGAACATTTCACTTTGGTACTTCAGATGTACATCTTCATTTAAACTGGACTGGAATAGGTACAGTTTTTTTTCTATAACAAATACAAAGAAAACTGAAATCAAATGGCTTCTGTGCAGTCTCTCTTGTTCTTATGTCTGTCTAAGGATATCTGGCTGCTTCAGAAGAAAAATTGCCTTTTGGGGAGCCAAAGCAGAAGGAAGTGTTTAGTTTTTAAAAGTTATGTGACTTGTAAATTACAAATGGGCTCGTGCTGCTTACTATCCCCTGAATATGCTGAGCAGATCTCAGCTCTTTTGTGCATATTTTTTCTTTAATTGCAGAGAACTTAATATGTACGTGTTTCTATTCTGAGAAGCTTTATAAATGTCAGTAAACAAAACCTGGTAAGGCCGTTTGTTTCTGCAGGCTGTAAATCAGCACTGTTTATACAGTAAGCTGTGAGTTTGAGGAGGGAAATCTAAAACCAAGCAAAGGTATTGAAGAACTTCACAGTTTCTCATTTAAGCTGCTTCAGAGAGAAGAAAATCGTCCGCAGGAGAAATGTAAGAAGCTTCAGTCCTTAAGTCCTAGGAGGTCTGTTGAACTATGGAGAAAATCCCCATGGCTTAGAAGTTTTTATTCTAGGGCTTATTCCACAATTACATTGGTGGGTTTTGCTGCTTTGTTAGAAATCAAATGTGCTCTGTGTTCCAGGCAGTACTTTCCCACTGAAAAGTGTAGAACAACTTAATTGCCTTGTTTCTTTCTTTTTTCTTAGACTGTTTCACAGACTATTATAAACCTTTGAGATTTGGTTTTATTGAAAGATTAGCGGATGTATTTTTTTCTTCTGTGTTTACTTTGTGCTTGATAACAGTTTTGTATATATTTACCTTACCCATTCCCCACATGTACGTATGTGACTCATGTAGTCTATCCTGTTAATTGTGTGGGTCTTTCACACAGCATTGGGGTGGGGGGGAAATTCTCTGTGGAACTTATGAGCAGGTGCAGTAGTTGAACATTTTTGTTCTTCGTTTAACTTATTTGTTCTCTTTCGCCTTGCTTTTGCAAGACAAAAAAGAGCATGGTCCTCCAAGTTCTGGTCTAACAAGCTCCAGCTACGTGGAATGCTACACCCAGAAAGAAAGTGCCCCCTTTTTTAAGTCTGCTTCTGCCAGTTCTGTTTCGTTCCTATTGCCACAGCAATATTAGTGAATTTACACTATTTAGAGTTCCTCCTATTACTATAAATTCTTGTGAATGTCATGGAACCATAACTGGGATGGCTCTTGTGGCCACAGAAGCTGAGCGTGTATGCTACTGGATCACCTAACTACAGATTGTGTCTTTGAAATGTTTGTGTGTAGTTGTGGTGTTCACAGCTGAAAGTGAAAGTGGAGTGACATCTCAAATTGCTAAGGGAGAGATGCAGATTCACACCAAGTCGAAAGTTCAAGGTAAAAAAAGAGTGGGGATGGGATGTCACATGGTGCAATCTCTTGCCAGATTTCTGTTGTCATTTATTAGGTGGACTAGAAAAATACAGCAGTCAAGAAAAACATGAATGTAGTAGCATGGTCCCAAAAGACTTGTTTCTGAGTGAAACGAGAATAAATTAATCTGATAAATTTAATACACTTACATGTTGATCAAATGTAACATTGATTACCCTGACAAATTCGAACCCATTCATTATACTCATAATAAGATGAAAGAAGAATTGCTATTTTAAAGATACTGTGTCTGTTGGCAGGGATACCAACGTAGCTTTGCCACGTTTTAAAAAAGGTCAAACACCGTCTCAAGCTTAAAGGAATTCTGACAAATACAGAAATGAGGAAACTTCACAGCTAACCTTCAAGACCGTTCAGCCACATGCCAACTGAGCTGAGCCCCAGGAACTGCCAGCAGCCCAGATAATTGTATTTTCAGCAGGTGGTTTCTGGCCACCAATGGTAGCAGCTGCACAAAGCTCTGTAGCAGCGTTCTGTTTTGCTGTGATTTTGCCCTAAATCGATAAAGAAAGGAAAAGATGGCTGCAGCTTCTTACTGAACAATAGAAGCTGTGGCCTGAGCTTTGTTTCCTTATCTGAGATCAAAGAGAAAGGATCCCTTGGATCGTTGTGTTTTGATGTATAGTGGCAGAGACAACCTGCCATTTTAAGTGACTGGCAGACTTTGGATCATGCTGCACATAGATAGTCTTCCTCAAACCATCAATCTGCTGTCAAATATTAGGACTATAAACATCTTACCCTTTGAATTATGTAGAAATGAGTGTAAACATAATATTTATGTAATTTTTGCTACAATCCTGAAACCTGTACAATCTCAGATGGTGGTTCTAGTGCCCAGTCAGCTGCAAGAGACCCAGGAAGGAAGCTTGTGTGTACACAGCGGTCCTCAATCATGCATTCTAGCGTAATGTATTTTAATGAAGTCCAGTTTTGCTTTGGCAAGACCCAGCCTATCTTCAGACTTACGCTCCCTGCTCTGAAGGAACCTATGGGGAATATATTCCCAAATTCTCTTACGTATTTTTATGGTTGACTGGCCAAGTGCATGCAGAGTCAGTGAGAACAGAGGAGTTAACATGTTTCATCAAGATGTGAAAACAAGTCGAACTGGCAAACAAGTGGGACAACAGATTTCCCCACCGAAGACATGATAATGCACAGGAGTGAAAGCCAGCTGTAATGTTTGTATGGGGCATATATTTAAGTAGATCAGTCTCGTATGTCTTTTGGGACCTGTATGCTTATTGTATGAGTTAAACCTTAGCCTTGTCTGCTGAAAAAAAGGAGATAGTGTGCACTTCCTGCAAGCGGGTGGGAAGATGAAATGCACTTGCTGGCATCCACACTCCTTTACTGAAATCTAGCCGAAATGTGCGTCTGACAGCAGAAAATTTAAGGTGAACTTTTTTCTGAAGAGCAGGGTGTTTTTCACCACCAAGACTAGAAAATGTCTTTCTGAATGTACTTTGCCATTTGTGACCATCCTGACAAAACCAAAAATAACTAATGTCGTTTGGTGTGTGCAATGTGAGAGTTGTCTTCCTATGACTTTCCAAAACAGTAATAAAAAATAAATATTTTAAAAAAAGAGGGCTTCTTGTGTGTCTTGCATCAAAACGTTCTCGGCTTCACTTTTGTTAGTACATTTGCTCCTGCTGAAGTGAGACAGGCTGTGGTCTTCTGCTTGTCCCCAGAGAAATACAGCTACAGACACAATACTTGTTTTTCGACAGCCCTGACACTGTGCCTCGGGCTTTGAGAAGACCGTTCTTGTTACCAAGAAAGCAGAATTGCAGTTTAGTCTCAGTGCTTTGTGTGGCTGCTGAACTTGTCAACATCAAGATTTTTCCA